TTATTGTATCTTTCCGAGGCTCCACTGAGTAAAACGCTAACCAGAATAACAGGAAATTTTTATTACTGTCATTCTGGTTAGCGTTTTACTCAGTGGAGCCTCGGAAAGATACAATAACTTGCCCAAGGTCACAGAGATAGTAAGTGGCATGTTTGCATCCCAGGTATGCCTGGCTTTTCACAGTCTCTCCTCACCACCACCAGGCTGCCTCCCACATCTGACAGCCATCTCTCCCTTTCTTGACAACCCCCAAGCAGCCAGAGGATCTAAGGGATCCTCTAAAGCAGATCAGAGATTTCTTTTCCCCCAACTATACCTACCCCCAACTTGCTGCACAGAAGATAAAGCTGCATGCACATTTTGGGAGCAATTTATGACCTCTGGCCAGAGGCCCCTGAATGGAAACCGCTGAGTTGCACTCCGGCTCCCTGCTCTGTTCAGATGCCCCTATTGGGCCCCCCGTGGATGACAAGATGATGCATGAGGTCTGGCTAAGCAGCTTATTTGTCTGAGCTGGTGATGGCCTTTGTCCTGAGGTGGGTTAATGGTGAGGGGCAGTGGCCCTTTAAGGCCTGGACAATGGGCAGGCTTCTCAGGTCATCGAATCACTCAGTGGTATGGCCCTGAGTCCCTTAGAGCCCCTCAGAACACAGGAGGCCTCTGCTGACCCTGCTCATCACCCACTGATGCTCCCCTCTCCAAGCAAAAGGGAACACTGGAATGATGTAGAGAGAGAATCAAAGAGCATTCAAATGACAAAGGACTTCAGAGGAGGAAACCGAGACAGAGAGAGGACAGTGGGCATTCCTGACTTCCCGCCTTCCCCTGCACCCAGTTCTGCACTGTGCTTTCCTAGCTTGGCTTGTTTCTGTCTCCAAATGCAGCAGCCCCACACCTAACCAGACCAGGCTGATTTTCCCAGCTGCTCCTTTCATTGCTGAAACCTAATGCTGCAGATTACAGTTCCAACTTCACCTGGCAGCCATGGCTCACTAGAATTCACCCCTTTCCCTACTTCTTGAGCCCCTCTGATCCTCCCCCAAGCCTCCAGTCTTGAGAGAGCCATACCCTTTAGCCTCTGCTACCTGCTTCAACAAAAGCAGCTTGCTCCCTTTGATCAGTTTCCTACATTTGCTTCTGAATAAAGATGCTATTTAAAGATAACTTCTAATATTAGAATTTTTTTCCAAGTTTGAAACCCACTGAGTTAGATCAACCCTTTTATTTTATGGAAAGTTGCAGAGCTGGGATTCAAACCCAGGCCTTCTGATTCGCAATCTTGATTTCCTCTCAATGTATGCATTCATTTATTTATTACACAAAGATTTCTAGTGCACCTACCGTGTGTCAAATACTGAGCTGGTCCCTAGAGTACTGGCACATGTAAGACAGTGCTCCTGCCCTCAAGGAGGGGCCTGAGCATTAACATCGAGTCCTGCTGAGGTTTCAAAACGCAAACATGAAAACGCCTATGGACTTTGGCCTCCACGTGGCCATTGGCAACTTTGGTAAGGGCATTTTCAGAATGTGGAGGCTAAAACTAGAGGAAGATGGATGGGAGGGGAGAGGATGCTCCCAAGAGATTGGGCTTTGTGTCACAAATTACTTCCTAATTACAAAGAGAAAAGAGTTTCTTTATAGAGGGGAGATTAGGAATCACCACCTTAACCAAGTGACCAAACTTAGCATTCCATTAGTGAGCCATTCTAATATGATGCCGTAAGAAGCCCATCTCATCACACATGAGGTACACTTGCCAAAAATATTTAACCTGGATCCAATCTTGAGAAAACAATCAGATACATCCAGAATGCAGGACATTTTACAGAGTAACTGGCCTGGACTTTGCAAAAAGGCTAATACCATGAACAAAGGGACTGTTGAGTATTTGGATGGGTGGGAGGCTCTGGCAGATTAAAAGAGACTAAAATAATACAGCAGTCAAATGCAACATGTGAATCTTACAAGTGATTGAATCCCAGTTTTTTCAAATGCTATAAAAAAAGACATTCGGGAAGAATTGGGAAAATTTTTACATATAGTGTGCACGTTAGGTGATATTATGGATTATTCATTAATAATCATTATATCGTGGTTAGATGAGAGAATGTTCTTATTCTTAGGAGATGTGTGCTGATAGAAACTGTACTGCAGTCTCCAACTTGCAGATGGTTCAGAAAAACTTTTTATGCATAGAGATGAAGTAATGTGGCAGTATATTAACCAACAGATTCAGATGAAGAGTATATGGGCTTTTCTGCACTATTCTTTCAACTTTTCCATAGGGTTGAGATTTTTCAAAATAAAAAATGGGAGTGACTATATGTAGATGGGCAAGAGATTGGACAATAGTAACTGAATTTTTGGAAAGTTTTCTTGGGACAGGTGGGATTGGGTGCTTTTTTTCATGAGAGCCCACCCTCACAATCAAGCAATGCTTCACACCAAGCCTTGACTTCTCCTGGAATGCAGAAAGTCTCCAAACCTTTACAGAGAACGATCATTTGGCAGTTGTGATAAAACAGGCCCTTCCTGGGCGTGGAGGGAACTTCAGCAAGGCACTGGAGCCGGTAATGGGAACCACATTGGTGGGAGTGTGGGGAGCCCCACCCCAGAAATAGCCCTTCTGTGTGGAGGCAAGACAACTGGAACGAATTATGCACATTCATACTTGTTAAACTGCCTTGGCACCAAAAGTGATCCTCGTAACCTGAGCTTTACGGCGGCACAGCCATACTTAAAGTCAGGTCAGCCTTGCCCCTGCACTCTCTGTCAGAGGTTTATAGGTAAGGCATAAAACAGTTCAGCATGAGCTGAAACATGAAAACCTCCTCTAGATTGCAAAGGCAAACTTTTTAAAGTTTTCTGAGGAGGCAGTGTTTGGTGATAAAATCTTGCCTGTCTCCTTCTGCTTTTCCAGCCCTTGGCCAGGTCCCCACACACCTGCCTTCAGCCCACTCCCCACCTCAAGCCTATAGCACAATCCAGTCACACGCAGAAGCTGCTGCATCCTGTGGATGGAAGGTTCTGTTGTGACCAGGGAGTCTTGGTTTCTGAAACTGAGCCCTGAAGCTGTGTGGCCGTGGACAAGTTGAGTCCCCTCTCTGAACTTCAGCCTCTTGGTTATTTGTAGATAATATTTATTACAGGGTTATCCAGACCACACAGGTCTGTGGTCACTGAGTACATGAGACTGGTGTACACGGTGGGTACTCTGTAAACAGTGACGTTTACCTCATGTATTGATTCTTCCTTTCCTGAAAGATTTCTCTGCACAATGGAATGTTGTTTGACAGCATTTTACCCACAGTAAAATTTCTTTCAAAAGTGGAGTCAGTCCTCTCAAACCCTGCTGCTGCTTTATCAACTAAGTTAATGTGATAGTCTAAATTCTTTGTAGTCGTTACAACAATGTTCACAGCATCTTCATCAAGAGTAGATTCCATCACAAGAAACCACTCCCTTTGATGATCCATAAGAAGCAACTCCTCATCCATTCAATTTTTATCATGAGATGGCAGCAATTCAGTTCCATCTTCAGGCTCCACTTCTAGTTTTCTTGCTACTACCAACACACCTGCAGTTACCTCCTCCGCTGAAGTCTTGAAGCTCTCAAAGTCGCCTATGAGACTTGGAATCAGCTTCCTCCTAACTCTTGTTAATATTTGACCCCTCTCCTATGAATCATGAATGTCCTTAATGGCATTTAGAATGGTAAATCCTTTCCAGAAGGTTTTCAATTCGCTGTGCCGAGATCCATCAGGGGAATCACTATCCATGGCAGCTATGGTCTTTAAAAATGTGCTTCTTAAATAATAAATGTGTTTCTTAAATAATTTGAAAGTCAAAGTTAACTTTTTGATCCATGGGCTGAAGAATGGATATTACATTAGCAGGCATGAAAACAACATTCATCTCCTTAGATATTTCCATCAGAGCTCTTGGGTGACCAGGTGCATTGTCAGCGAATGGTAATATTTTGAAAGAAATGTTTTCTTCTGAGCAGTAGGTCTCAACAATGGGCTTAAAACATTCAGTAAACCATGCTGTAAACAGATGTGCCATCATCCAGTCTTTGTCTTTACATTTAAAGACAGCAGACAGAGTAGATTTAGCATCATTCTTAAGGGCACTGGGATTTTTGGAATGGTAATTGAGCACTGCCCTCAACTTCAAGTCACCAGCTGCATCAGCCCCTGATAAGGGAGTCAGTCCATCCTTTGAAGTTTCAAATAAGCATTGATTTCTCCTTTCTAGGTATGAAAGTCCTAGAGGACATCTTCTTCCAATAGAAGGCTGTTCTGTCTACACTGAAAATCTGCTGTTTAGCCTAGCCACCTCCATCAACAATCTTAGCTAGATTTCCTGGATAACTTGCTCCTGCTTCTCCCATCAGCACGTGCTACTTCAACTTGCACTTTTATGTTACAGAGATAGCTTCTTTTCTTAAACCACATGAGCCAACCTCCGCTAGCTTGAAACTTTTCTTAGACTACTTCCTTGCCTCTGTCAGAGTTCACAGAATTGAAGAGACTTAGGACCTTGCTCTGGATTAGGCTTTGGTTTAAAGGAGTGTTGTGGCTGGTTTGGTCTTTTATCCAGACCACTAAAACTTTCTCCATAAAATATAAAAACAGCCAAAAGGCTTTTCTGCCTTCTTATCGTTTGTGTGTTCAGTGGAGTAGCAATTTTCATTTCCTTCAAGAACTTTTCTATTGCATTCACAATGTGGCCGTTTGGCACAAGAGAGCTAGCCTTCAGCCTGTCTCAGCTTCTGACATGACTTTCTCACCGAGTTTAATTATTTCTAGCTTTTGATTTAAAGTGAGAAGCACACAACTCTTCACTTGGCCATTGTAGGGTTACTAATTGGCATCATTTCAATATCATTGTGTCTCAGGGAATAGAAAGGCTGGAGGAGAGGGAGAAAGACAGGGAATGGTCAGTCAGTGGAGCAGTCAGAACACAAACCTGTATTAACTGTTTGCCGTCTTACACCAGACAGTTTGTGGCATCCCAAAACAATTACAATAGTAACATCAAAGATCACAGATCACCATAACAGAGATTACAATAGTTTAAAAATGTGACATGTTGCAACAGTTACCAAAATGAGAAACAGACATGAAGTGGGCACATGCTGTTGGACAAATGGCACCGATGGGCTTGCTTGAAGCAGGGTTGCCACAGCCCTTCAATTTGTAAATATACGGTATCTGCAAAATGCGCTACAGCAAAGTGAATAAAGCAAGGAATGCCTGTACATAGATCTCTATAGGGAATCATTATTTTGATTATGAACAGAAATTTTTCCAAAATTACTCTTGTTTTTATCTAAAAGGTAGCCAACATACAGTTCTTAATGAAAGGGAAATCATGTGAAAAATCACAGGAAAATAATTCTATTTTATCCTTTTTTTTTTATTTTTTTTTTTTTGAGACGGAGTTTCGCCAGGCTGGAGTGCAATGGCGTGATCTTGGCTCACCGCAACCTCCGCCTCCTGGGTTCAGGCAATTCTCCTGCCTCAGCCTCCTGAGTAGCTGGGATTACAGGCACGCGCCACCATGCCCAGCTGATTTTTTGTATTTTTAGTAGAGACAGGGTTTCACCATGTTGACCAGGATGGTCTCGATCTCTTGACCTCGTGATCCACCTGCCTCGGCCTCCCAAAGTGCTGGGATTACAGGCATGAGCCACTGCACCCGGCCTATTTTATCCTTTTATTAAAAAGTTTTAGTAAAAGGGAGGGAGAAGCTTTGAAGTCAGATAGAACTCAGTTCAAATCCTAGCCATGCCACTGACTGGCAGAGTGACCCAGGCAGATTAATAATCCATTCTGAGCCTCGGTGTCTTCATCTGTATATAATAAGATATAATAATACCAACCCAGCAAAGGGAAGTGAAGACACAATATACTTTGTGAAAAGCTCTTAGCCCAGTACCTAGCAAATAGAAAGCATTTCATGAACAGAGCTACAATTAGTACCGAATCTGAGAAGAGCAGGAACCTCCTGATATCCAGACCTGTCTCTCAAGTATTGTTCTTGGGCACCAGAAATGACAGACCAAGGGAAGCCAGCTGACATCAAAAGCCCTGCCCTGCAGATCTTCAAATGGATGATGAAAATGCACTGTGATTTCTGCCCTTTTGAAGCTGTCTCTTAGCCTAGCCCTTCAAGCTACTAGGGATTTGATGGGCTAGGAGGACATTGTGGATGAGAAGAAACTTCAATTTGTTATTTCAAAGTAAGGCAGCTCCTTCAGATAAGGCAAACTGGTTTGTTCAGAGCCTAGGTTCCCAGATGTGTGGTCAGGTGTGGAAGATGATCCTCATCAGCCTTTTTTTGGCAAACATACCTAGGGATGGGTAGGAGTGTGGACCAGAATCGGGTTCATTGTTTGTTTGTTTGTTTGTTTGTTTGTTTGTTTCTGCCTGAGTCAGGACTACAGACCCCAAACTGCTTGTGCAGAGGTTGAACATTTTCACTGGAGTTGCCACATGTCAGCTAGCTCATCCCAGGCAGATTTCTGCTTCCAATCCCAGCTCTGCCTCTCACTAGTGATGACCCTGGAGAGTCACTCTGCCTCCTTGACCCTCACTTGCTTATCTCTAAGGAAAGAAGATGACCAGCTGCTCTGCTGGCCTCTTTAGCGTGTCATATGGCCTCTGTGAGATAAGGCCTGTGAAAGTATGAGTGCTCCCAAGGAGAGGAACGGAAAGGCAGTCCTCACCACGCTCTCTGCAGTGAGGCAGACATGTTATACACACCTTTGTGCAACAGGCATTCTCTCAAAAGCCTATTCACAAACAGAATATGTTGTTACTAAAACCTGTGGTAAATAAAATCTTTAATAAATGGAAGCATTTTAAGTACAGTATAGAAGATAGAGAAAATAATATTTACTTACCACCTGCTACTTTTAATTTATTATGACTTTGTCACCAAGATTCCTGATGTATTTTTGCACGTTAACGTAGCACATCTGGATTATAAAGATTTTCAGACAGGTGTCTACAATATAACTAAAGATCTAGGTACATTCCTCTGCTAGAAAAAAATGCCTTGAACATTTCTGTCCCTCTGGACAGTTGAGAATTTATGACAGGCAATTAAATGATGTGTATTTGCTGAATGTGAATTTCTTCTGGTGAAGCAGAGAAAGTAATATATAAAGAGGGGCAGAGGGTGGGAAGGGACCACACTTGTTTCCTGCTCATTTGCACATTGGGTCAAATAATTCCACTCTCTGCATTCCTCAAGATAAGAGTCTGCTGCTCACACTGACTCCCACCCCTCCCCCTACACGAAGTTATCTTTTTTTTTTTTTTTTCCTATTTCACTTCTTCCAAGAGTCAAGATCCTTCTTGGAACATAACTCAAGCTTCAGAACATACTTCCTTTAGGACTGGAAAATTTCCTAGAAGATGGGGTGTGAAATCTCCCCCTTCCTCCAGGCCCTCCTGCCCTAGCTTGGGGGTTGCCACCTACAGACTGTGTTTGCTGTCTGAACAAACTCAGCATGTGTTGTCTCAAAGGTCCACAGTCATTAAATATATCAAGCTGAAGTCCTCTTCTTTCAAGCTAAGAGCAGATGCACATTTCTGGGCTGGGGAGAAAGAGCCTGTCCTAAAGACCCCTATGAGACCTTGTACCAACTCTTGAGGTAGAGTTTCATTGGATTTGAAAGTCTGGCCAGAATTCCCACTGCACTCGGAAGATTGAGCACTTCTGGGCTGACACGGCTTCTCTTGGAAAGACACATGGTACCACGGAAGGGCATAGGCTTTAAAATCCACCAGAACTGGCTTCAGATCACCATTTCTCCGACTTGTGACCACATGGCATTGGACGATTTACCTCCCTCACTGAGCCTTATTTTTGTCTGTCATGAGATAAGGATAATAAATCTTTTTTTTTTTTTTTTTTTTGGAGAAGGAGTTTCGCTCTTGTTACCCAGGCTGGAGTGCAATGGCGTGATCTCGGCTCACTGCAACCTCCACCTTCTGGGTTCAAGCAATTCTCCTGCCTCAGCCTCCCGAGTAGCTGGGACTACAGGTGTGCACCACCATGCCCAGCTAATTTTTGAATTTTTAGTAGAGACAGGGTTTCACCATGTTGACCAGGATGGTATCGATCTCTTGACCTCATGATCCACCCGCCTCGGCCTCCCAAAATGCTGGGATTATAGGCATGAGCTACCGCACCTGGCCAAGGATAATAAATCTTACATGGAGGGGAGAGGGGAGCAAATGAGGTAGTATTTGTGAAAAGTTAAGCAGGAAGCCTGGTAACATACAAGGCTCCTCCAGCACAGATTCTGCCTCGTGTTGCCCACAGAGCTTGCACTTAGGAATGACTAAGGGCTCAGAGGAGTGGGAGGTGGGTCAGCCTTTTTCCTAGAGCAAGCTTGTCCAACCCATGGCCTGCAGGCCACCTGCAGCACAGGACAGCTTTTGAATGTGGCCCAACACAAATTTGTAAACTTTCTCAAAACATTAGGAGACTTTTTTAGCAAACTTTTTTTTTTTTAACTTTTGAAATAGGGTCTTGCTGTATCACCCAGGCTGGAGTGTAGTGGCAGGATCCTAGCTCACTGCAGCCTTGACCTCCCAGGCTCAGGCGATTCTCCCACTCAGCCCCAATTAGGCCGGGACTACAGGCAGGTGCTACAACACCCAGCCTTTTATTTATTTATTTATTTTGGTGTATTTTGTAGAGAATCGTTTTGCCATGTTGTGCCAAGCTATTCTCAAACTCCTGAGCTCAGGCCATCTACCCGACTGGGCTTCCCAAAGTGCCGGGATTACAGGCATGAGCCACCAAGCCCAGATGCAATTTATTTTTTATTTTTTTTTAATTTTTTAGCTCATCAGCTATCATCAGTGTTAGTGTATTTTATGTGTGGCCCAAGACAATTCTTCCAACATGGCCCAGGGAAAACTAAAAGACTGGACACCCTAGAGGAAAAGTTAGCCCTGGTCCACCACAGCAGTACAGGCTGTCCTCAGTGTGGCTAGCCTCATAGTTCCCCACATGTAATAGACCTCATCCCCCAAGGTTCACCTCTGCTCAGGGATGGACATGACTTCTTCACAGGACTGTCATGGGAACCAGTGAGCGCCTGTGTACAAAAGTACCTGGCACACAGTAGGTGCTCAGAAAATGCTGAATCTCACAAAAGAGAAATCTGCTTAAAGACAGGCCAAGAATGCAGCCTGTGTTGTGTCAGAGTCAGCTCTCGGCCCATTTCAGGGACAGCTTTGTGAGGTGAGAGTGAGTCCCGGCAGCCTCTGGCTGCAGGGAGAGCCTGCTCTGGATTCTACAACACTTTGGGGTGGGCGCTGAGAGCCAAGGGGTTCATGTTCCCACGCCTGCCCTGCCCCAGCACCTGCTTCTTGTGGGACCCCGCTGGCGCCCTGCCAAGGCCTGCCTTCCTGCCTCCCAGCCTAGAGGCCAGGCTGCTTCCAAGTAACATCTCAGTGGGTGTTG